GGTCTATCGCGCTCGGACAGCCTGTGATTTTCGTGTCGATGAACTACCGGTGGGTCTTTGGTCGCTCGTGGTGCTCTCACCGTACTAACGTCTGCTTACCAGGCTAAGTGGTAGGTCATCAAGAGTCGTTTAGAAATATCTATGCTTAGTATCCCGTTAGCGTTCGGATTCCTAGGAGGACGTGAGGTGATGCAGGCTGGCATCGGCAATCTTGGGTTACAGGACCGTGAGTCTGATCATGATTCGCTGGCCTTTGTACACTGATGGCCTTCACAGAAAGAGAAGCGCTACGATGGGTGCAGAGGTATATCTCGTCATTTGGAGGAGACCCGACCAAGGTGACCATGTAGGCTCATCATGCGTTCTCCTAGCCCACATGGCACTGAACAACACGACTGGTAGATGGGGAGAGAGCGCTGGTGCTATATCCGCCGTGTCCCACATGATTACCAACGGCGGCGATACTGAGGGCCTCTTCCGCGCAGCGTGGATGGAGTCCGGCTCGGTGGTCCCAAGCGGTAACATCACCAAGCTGCAGTCGACATTTGACTTTATCGCTGCCGAGACAGGATGCGCGTCCGCGCAGCGCGTTCTTGAATGCCTTCGCGAGGTACCGGCGAGAACGATCAAAGCCGCCATGGACAAGACGCCCACGATCTTCTCGTATCAGGTTAGCAGCTCCTAGTGACTGTGCGGCGCATGGCTGATCTTGTGTATAGTCGTTGAACATACCCTGGGTCCCTCATGCGGATGGCGTGTTCCTGCAGGACTATCCCATGCGGCTCGTTCTGGATGATCGCGTAGCTGACGTACCATTCGTAATCGGTAACTACGGGTGATTGACGTTCTACACAAGCGCTGACTCCGGCGACCTCCGCCTAGGCGATTGTCTGGATGAAGGAACGCTGGTTTCACTTACCTCGTTCAACGTCACGTAGGAGTCCCACCAGCACTAGTGCTTCAACGCAGTCTCTCACTTCGCCCTTGTTATGCTAGCACCGATGACGAGTTCGTGGAGTACGTGCGCCAGACTTACTTCCCACAGGCACCGGCGTCCACCTTTGCGCGGCTGCAAGAACTGTATCCCGCTGATCCTACGGCGGGCTCTCCCTTCGGTACCGGGGACGCCTTCGCCTTCACGAGGCAGTACAAGCGGCTGGCGGCTGTCCAGGGCGACTTCTTCTTCGAGTCCATGCGGCGGTTCCTGCTCAAGCAACGCTCGGGGAAGTCGCCTGTATGGTCATTCAGTGAGTAGTCGAGCTCCACATGACGCACGTTCATCGTCGCTCACCGGCCGGTCATGCAGTGAGCGAGAGGAATCAGGTGAAGGGTATGGGCGCTGTGAGTATTCCTCCCTTCCACGTATCAGCGCTAGCTCGCTTCTGTCGCTCACTGGCACGCGCTCGGGGCCATCAGACGCACTCCACTGAACTGGCGAACGTGTTCGGCGGGGGTGACATGACGGACTTCCTTATCCGCTTCGTCCACACGCTCGATCCGAACGGAAGGCCGGGCTCGGAGATCCACTGGCCGGCGTACACGCCCGAGTCGCCGCGGCTGCTCGCGTTCGTTGAGGGAGAGGAGGCGCTGGAGGTCATCCCGGATACGTTCCGCGAGGAGGCGATGGACTTCCTCGTTTCTCTTGCCCTTGACCAGCCTATGTGACGTGCTTACCCCGACTCGCGAGCAGCTTCTTCCTCGCTGATACATCAACTTTGACTCGAGTTCCAAGGATGAGCAGTGCGTGAGCATAGGTAGCGACTCCGTGAATTTAATACACTTGGAGTCTCGCCGCATTCCAATGAAGAGCCTTATGATGGGGAGCCGCCGGTCATGGGTCAGGATACATCAATGCTCTCGAGCACGGTCTATTGGCATTGAGACGTACGTCTCATCGAAGTGTTCTCGCCAAGCCGCGTTACATACCAGACGGCCGTATACGGCGCTCCGGCGTTCTCACAAGCGTCAAAAATAACCTGGAGGAGTCCTTCGATGCTGCAGTGCGGAGAGCTCATGACCCTGGCTCGAGCTTCTGCTCGGCGTAGGCGGCCGCCGTCCTTTTGACCAGGATGACTTCTGCTGCAACGCTCAGGCCAAGCACTTGACATTCTCCTAGCGAAGGATGCCATCCTGATGACCGCTTCTGTAGGGTACAGCAACCGCGATCCGCTGACTTTCCTAGGTCCTCTGACCCCGAAGTCTGAACGAAATGCAATGCTTCACCAGGCGCAAGTTCGCAGAGTCACTGCATGCCCCGGCAGATGCATGCCCCGGCGAAGAGTTGGACGTAGGTCATCTCACCTCATGCTCGCCATGGATTAAGGGCTGATTCGAGTACACAACGTAGCAGAATTCGATTACAGCATCGCTTAGGCTGTGTATAAATGCAGCCTCGTTGTGTACGACGACGTTCGTCTGTCCACCACTGAGGACTACGAGCCTTTTCTCCTTGCGCCATCATGCTGCAGAGATTACGACTTTGCGTCGTTGTGCTCGTCGCGGCAGCCGCAGCTCAACTGGCCACCGTCAAGCTCGATGAAGCCACCGTCATCGGGACGAGCGACGGCGTAGTCACCCAATTCCTGGGCATTCCCTTCGCTGAGCCGCCGTACGTTAGTTTCGCCGCCGCCCTTTGGCAGCCCTTCATTCTGACCTATCATTCTTGCGGCAGTGTTGGCAAGCTGCGACTCCAGCTGCCCCAGCCTATATCCAGGTACACTGGCGTGATCAACGCGACGACGTTCGGCAACCAGTGCATCCAGCAGGCCCTCATCACGCCCACCATACCGAGCACGTTGCCTCCGCAGATCTCTCCCTTTGTGGAGACGCTGGCCGCTACCCCAGATGTGCCTCAAAGCGAGGATTGTGAGCGTTTGCTCGTGGTCTGGATTTGACCAAGATTGGACTCTGAGGGTGGTTGGATTATGCAGGCCTCAACATCAATGTCATAGTTCCTGCGGACGCGAAGCCTGGGGACAAGCTTCCTGTCGCGGCTGTACGTCTTGTCCTTTCTTCCACAAGAATCTTACTCATCGTGGTTTGCCCTAAATAGTGGATATTCGGAGGTGAGCACCCATGTTCGCGAACCGTCGCTTCTCCTCACACAAATTGCCAGGTGGATTCCAGGTTGGGTCCAATGCTGTGTACGTTCAAGTGAGCCTGACGTACCGCGAGAAGCTCGAGTAACCTTCGCTGTACAGGCGGCCAGGCGCGGTTGTCGTCAATCGCTCCATAGAAATAGGCCAACCCGTGATATACGTCTCGATGAACTACCGGTGCGCTCTTTCACTCACCAATTATACGATGGTTCTACTCACTCGGATGACAGATTGAGTGGTGAGTGACGACGGTCTTCGCGTTGGGACGTAGTTTGAAGTTTGTGTAGCGTTCGGGTTTCTGGGAGGCCGGGAGATTGCCAATGCAGGCTTGGGCAATCTCGGACTACAGGACCGTGAGTCTCCTTTGGACAAACGTGAAACTGAACCCTCATGAGTGAACCCTCCTCAGAGCGGGAGGCTCTTCGATGGGTCCAGAAGCACATAGCTGCGTTCGGGGGCGATCCGACCAAAGTGACCATGTACGCTTTCCTGCAAGGTTGTCGTAACAAGACTGACACTGAAACGTCTCGCACATAGCTGGGGAGAGAGCGCGGGTGCCCAGTCTGTTGCAGTGCAGATGCTCGCCAAGGACGGCAATAACGAGGGACTGTTCCGAGCCGGATGGATGGAATCCGGCGCAGCCTCTCCGATAGGGAACGTATCGAAGATTCAGCCGACCTTTGACTTCATCGCCTCTCAGACAGGTTGTGCGTCTGCAAGGGACGTTCTGGAGTGCCTGCGCGAGGTTCCCGCGGAGGTCATCAAAGCGGCCATGGACCAGACGCCGACGTTCCTGTCTTTCACTGTAAGTCAACAGCGGGCGAGATGATCTCGCACTCCGCCTGACTCGGTCCCAGAGCCTCAATACTCCCTGGATGCCACATGCGGACGGACTGTTCTTGACCGACAATCCGCAACGGCTCGTCATGGAAGGCAAGATCGCGGATGTACCATTCGTCATAGGTGAGGGACGAGCTTGCTGCAAATATCATATATTTGTGCCTTCCCGATGACCGATCCCTCTCTCAGGGGCATGCGAAGACGAAGGGACGGTCTTCTCCCTTGTGTCCCTCAATGTCACGTCAGTACTATCGTACATATCCTTCTCCGCCACCGCCAACGCTGATCTCTCCCCCAGTACCGAAGCCGAGGCTGCTGGGTACGTGAAAAACACATACTTCCCGAATGCGTCCGATGCGGACATCGCGCGCCTGCTTGAGCTATACCCCTGTGATCCTGCCTTGGGCTCACCTTTCGGAACCGGGAACGCCTTCGCCTTCACGCCGGAGTACAAGCGTCTTTCCGCCTTCCAAGGCGACTTCATCTTCCACTCAACGCGCCGTCTCCTTCTGGAGCAGCGCGCGGGGAAGCAAGTCGTACGATCCTTCCGTGAGTCGTGCTGATCCAACGACGCGCTGTTGAGACGCGCTGAACTAGGTGATTCCCCACAGTCAGCGAACGGAACAAGGTCGTCGGGTTGGGAGCGGTACGCTTCATAGTTGAGTGGTGAACGTCCGGCTGATGATCTGCAGACGCACACGACCGAACTCGCGAACGTCTTCGGGGGAGGAGACATGACGGACTTCCTGACTCGCTTCGCTACCACTCTGGACCCCAACGGCGGCTCCGAAATTCATTGGCCCGCCTATAGCACGAATGATCCGCAGCTCCTGGCCTTCGTGGATGGAGAGACCACTTTGAAAGTGATTCCAGACACCTTCCGCAAGGAAGCGAACGACTTCCTCATACAGCTCGGTCTTGCTCAGCCTCTGTGAAATTTTCCTATACATGTACTCCGCAGCCAACACCGATGCAGACAAGAAAGGCAGTCATTGATTGGGAGAGAGAAAGGCACATGCATAACTTGTCACGTCTGCTTTCAGCGAGACTGGGGGCGAAAAAGGGCCTGGCCGGGAATTGAACCCGGGACCTCCTCCAAATTGCGAGGCACGCCCTAAGAAGGAATCATACTACTAGACCACCAGGCCAGCAAAGGAGTGGCCTTTTGAATGTCCATAGCCATTGCCCAGTCTGAAGTGTTCACCCCAGTTATCCTCGACAACAAAAATGGAGCAACTCCAACATGAGGGCAGTCAGAATATAGAGATCCAAGCTTCAAGTGAGCCAAGGACGGGCAGAGGAAGCTGAAAGCATCTCTTCGGGTGCCGTTCAGGTCGACTTATATAGTACAGGACTTGCACCTGCGCGCTGTGCGCGGTATCATCGCCAGCTTACAGCATGGTGCACCGCCACCACCGTGTCGCCGTACTGTACTAGTACCTTGAACTTGAACCTTGACCGTGACGGCCTTAACCCCTCCAGGAGCTGCAGCCCTTTTGCCTTGACTCCCGCACCATTCCATCTCGGTAAAAGACGGCACCCACGGCCGTTTCTCTCGTCTCCTGAGTCTTTCGATCTGTCTGAAGAGCATGAGCACGCAGAACGACGAACCTCGAGACCTAGAGAATGGCGTTGACACCCCCCGACAGCCGAGGAGCTCATTGCCCTCTTTTCTTTTCGTCACATTCGTCTTATTCATGCTCACAAGCGGTCGTGGGGAAGATGTCTCTGTGACACGAGACCAGTATACACATGGTCTTCACTCGCTGGAATACCAGCTTTCGAACTACAGCGCGTGGCTCAATGGTACCACGAGCAATTTCTCGCTTGTTGGTGTCCATACCTTTGATTGATCTCTTGAGCTGCGATTGCTCATCCACCTATGTGTCTAGCCGGTTGAGGACCCAAATATGAGGCCTTTGGTAGACGCGTTCCTCGCATTCGGATCGGAGCTTGACCCAGAGCACGGATCATACTACTCGAACTTGACCGGCTTTTGGCATGGGGATCTAGGCTTTCATAACCTCACGTCCCTCAATGCGTCCGAGGCCGCATCAGAGTGGAGGCATCTGTCAGAGCAGTTTATACTCCCCACGAACCTGAGCGCTATCCCAGAACTCCTTGGATCATGGAATTTCACCAGATCGAACAAGGCGACTCTCAGTGTGGGGGACAAGTTGATTCCCTTGAAACGAGATGGCTCTCCGAAAAAGAACGTTGCGGTCATTCATGTGAGTCTTAGCATGTGACAGAGTCTCAATGCAGGGCGAACAACCTGAATGACGGCATCACTTCCAGGGGAAAGTGGACTTGTCGGACCCGGAGAGTTCTAGAGAGCTCAGGCTAGACTTCGAAGGTATCCACGTCTTGTCAACGGGGACGTTCTACGCCATGGTTGAATCTGCAGGGTATGTAGGACACTTCACATCGTCTGCGCGGTACTCATCCACGTTGCCATCAGGCGCGGCATTGACTTGCGGAGTCTCCCCGCGCTTGTCCCGGAGAGATTCAAGAGCGATAGCGCGCATGCCGTAGAGATCGAGTTGACTACACGCATCGAGAAGCTCAGGGAGAAGATAGAATCGGGCTCCTTCGATCAAGATACTCCAGAAGCAGACGACAGCCCCAGTACCAAATGTACATTCAGGCTGTTTGCGCAGCTCGAAGAGACCAATGTGCCGAAAGAGCTAATGGACGAACTTGAGAAGGAACTTGACGAGCCGACTGGAATCACAACCGTAAAAGCCCCAGAGCTCGCGCTGGACGGCGTCCTCCTCAGTCAAGACTGCGGAATGCTGTTTGAACTCAAGCATGCAGTTGGGGTGCAGTGAGCAACAATCATCCTTTGGCTTGCACGATGTTTGCTAACGGCTTCATAGATCCCAAAGACTTTACAGGAAGATCTCGACATGTGAGTCCAATTGTTCCTCAGACTGTAGTTGTCCGACTGATATCGTTCCCCAAGACTCCGGTTTCTCGACACTCGTCAATCTCGCTCTTCTAGCACTGTTTCGGAAACAGGCTGCCGAGAGCAGTTCAGCCGTCGGGCTCTCCCGTGTATCTCGCTACACGTTCCTCGTACAGAGCCTCATAGACGCTATATCATTCATTGGCGTACGTAACAGAACCTTCTACTCATCCTGCCATACCTGATGGGTCTGTCCAGCATATCACTCTCTGCATCCTGGCAGAAGGGCGCCCATCGCTTTCCGTTTTAGCCCCCGCCGGTCTCGCATGCTTACTCTTCGTATACGAGGCGGTAAGACTCATGTTATGCGTTCTTAAGAAGCTGTTCTCAGAATCCCGTGCAGCAAATGGCTGTTCTGATTGGTCAAATACAAGCTCCAGAGGATGCGCCGACCCCGCGGCCTTCGCCTCCTCCAGCCATACCGCCCCCACAGCAGGCAGCGGCTGGCACGAATGGCGCTGAAGGTGGCAATGGTTCAGGGTCTCCTGCGCAAGCTAATCCACCTCCGCCGCCGCCTCCCATTGTTCCTGCGCGACCCTCGTTCCTACAGTTCCTCTGGAATCACATCAGAACTGATCCAGCAGCGCGCTTATGTACGTGAACGATCTCGCTTCTCGTGCACTCAGGGATTCACGATCTGTATGCGAACTTACACAGGGACGCTCCTCTCCCTCTCACTCATCGTTGTCTTCCGTATTGTCATCGCTCTGTCGCTGCCGCTATTCTTCATTGGTTCCCTCTACTCGTGCATGTGGTTGGTGCAGATCTACCGATCTGCGAGGCGCTCGCGGAACAGCGGACTGTCAGCGCAGTATCTGGTTGGCACGACGCTTGGCCGCCTCTTCTTTGCCTGCTGTGAGTTTGGCCACGTGGTTCATCAAGTGCGATGGCCAGAAATCGCTCACGGTTTTCTAGACTTCCTTGGGTGCCCGAAGAACATCTTGGACGTTGAACCACGCAGTAAGTGGACATGGCATTGTCAGATCCTGCCAAGGGCGGCTGATGGGCGGCTGTGCCCGTGCAGGATGGATCTACGCGGTCGGACTGTTCATGTTTGCACAAGTGCTTGTCATCCTTCTCCAGGAACGCATCGGCCCCGCCTTCTTCCTTCCCAGAGCGGTACGCATTCCTGACACAATCTGTCTTCTCCGTGCCTGACAGGCATTTCGGACGCCCGCAGCTGTCGCGCACACAAACATACGACTACCACCCTCCACTGCCGCTGCCCGATCCCGAAGCTCCCGATCAGAGCCTTGGAGACTGCGCGATTTGCATGGACGCAATCTTAGTAGACCCGGGACTCCGCCGGCGGTCCAAATCCACCGACGGGAAGGAGCGGCCTGTGATTGGCCGCGCAGGTGGGATACTAGGCAAGGTCGGCGGAGCGAAGAAGACTTACAGTCTTGCTCCGTGCCATCATCTTTTCGTGAGTGACCCCGCATTGGTTTATAGGACTGTTGAATAACACGCTACACCGTGCAGCACACGGCCTGCCTAGAGAGGGTGAGTTTCGTGCTACTTTGGTAGGAGATTGGGCTGATGATATGTTGACCAATCCCAGTGGCTTGCGATCAAGGTGAGCAAACTTGCGTATGTCTTAACGGCAACCCTGAGACATCTCTCGCTACAGAATATTTGTCCTCAATGCCGTCGGCCACTGCCTCCTCTCTGAGTAGATCACTGTCTGGACGCGGATCTCCCCTCATTGTAGTTCTATAGCGTATACCCTTGGAACAAACTGCAATCTGATACTGTTACAGCTGACCTCGGTGGTGAGATGCGCAACCACTGGCAGCTGTTTCGCGATATCTGTGATGCAATGCGGCTGCCGTTGCCCCACCGCGGAGCATTGGCAGCCGCAACGATTGCAAGAGGACTTACAAGCTCCACCACGCAGAAATTCTTCCAACCATCGAATTGCTTGTGACAGCAGTATCTAAGGATACAGTAAACGGTAGCGAAAGGAGCGACACCAACCGGGGTATCCCGAGCCTCCAACACACCTCCAATAACTACGCCAGAAATGTATGAACAGCTTCGCCCGCTTAGGCCACGGTGAAACTGAAGGCGCGGTCAGCGATCAGCACGACTGCAAGTGTGCGCAGGTACTTACTAGACCATGTCATCAAGAGCACCGTGCTGTGCAACGGCGACGAGGGCGGGCTGGTGGTTGGCAGCGGTGTTGATGGACGCCATGCGGTACACACCAGCGGGGAGACCGCCGGGGACCTCGGCCGTGAGCACACCGTTCTGGGCGACGTCGTTAAGGCCCTTGAAGAACGCGAACTTGGTCGGGTCCGTGGGGGTGGTCTGGTCGAGCGAAGTGAGCGCCTCGATGACGATGTGCGAGTGGCCCTTGATGTCGCCCTGGTCGTTCACGACCTGCGGCGCTGCGAAGTAGTTCGCGTTCGCGTTCGTGAACTGGCCCGTCTCGAGGTGCGAGATCGCCATCTGGACGGTGAAGTTCGTGTTCGCCTGAATGGTGTCGCCGTTCTTGGGGCTGATGAACTTGGAAGAGGGCATGTTCGTCGTCGCGGCGATGATACCCATCGGCGCAGGGTTGCACGAGCCCGTCTTGATCTGCTGGCCGTTCGTGATCGGCAGGTTGGGCACGGTCGCGCAGAAGTTGATGAAGTTGTTCGATGACGTCGCCGAGGGCACCTGACCCGGCTCGGGCTGGTCCTGGCCGTCATTCTCGAACCCAGTGGCGATCACGGACTGGAGGAGAGTGAGCGACGTTTGAGGGTCGCTGTCGTCGCCACCAGCAGCGGCGGTACCGGAGGCCTTGATAGAGACATCAGTCTAAACTCAACACGGGTTAGCATTGGTACTCACCGCTGCTGCACTCGAGGTCGCAGAGGCGGACGCAGCGACGGAGGAGGATGCAGCCGCAGAGGTAGCCGCTGCCGAGGAAGTCGCAGCAGCAGAGGAAGCAGCAGCCGCGGAGGACGAGGCAGGGGCAGCGGCCGACGATGCGGCGGCGGCATTGTCGCCGGACGACGCGTTGTCAGAGCCGGAAGCGCTAGTGGCGCCAGTGGCAGCGATGCGGGCATCACGATCAGCAGCGGTGGTGCAAGTGACACTCGTTCCAGGGGAGTTGACCAGGGGCAGAGCGGCACAGCTACACGAGTGGCAAGTGAGACGCTGATCATAGGCGCCCAAGGGGAACAATGGCACTTA